AAAACTTAGTAGAAAAATTATTTGTAAAACACTTATTTAAATTTCATTGAAATTATTGTTTTAAAATTTTATATTTGAAGAAACAGGCTCCGCAGTGTGGGAACGCATGATGTTACACAAAATATACTTTCGTAAACAGACAAATAAAAATGTTTAATTGTGAAAACACGAAACAGAGCATTTGTTACCAGTATTGCTCAAGCATTTGTCACTGATATTACTCAAGCAATATTGGATTGTTGTACATGGAATGGCGGTTTTTCAATTTAATATTTATAGAGAAATCCGCCATATTTCATGTGCGACAAGTCGACAGTTTTACAATCTGCTTAAAAAACATCGATGTAGTTTCTGAACACACTTATATGCGATCTTTAAGAGAAGCAACTCTGAATTTTGTATTATCATCGAAGGAAGCAAGTTCTAGTATTCTCGAAAGTGATTAATATATCCATGATATATAGGCAATATTGAAATATGAAATGCGATAAATTATCAACAGAGACTGCACCGGAAGGATTCTCGATCGATCCCAGAATCTCTCACTTATGGTTCCGAGCATTCGATGAATGGTCAGAGTTAATCTTGAAAAGAAATCGAAGGCCTCCCATTTGTTAGAACTCGCCCCTTTTCACCTACTTTCACGTAGGAAGCGACATTGAGCTCGGCTTCATCACGTTATGAACTTATTCGGATATTACTAAAGCGAGAAGATACGTTTCAGCGAATGAACTCAATTAACTTGGCGAATGGAAGGTAAACGCGGTCTATGCCAATAGGAAGTCAAATCTCGAACTCTTCCAGTAATTGGATAATAATACCAATCCAAACATTGTTCTGCAGATGGAACGATAATCGATAGCTGCAGATTTGTCAGCGAGGCACGTACGGCAGTTCTGTCGTTTCTCGACGCACGACGATCTGTGACAGTTTAAAATCCGATTAGATATTGTGACATAGAATATTTTCGAAATTCTTTCTGTATTCTAGCTCGTGTCTTCCAAATACGAATTTAAAATCGTCCAGCAATCGTAATTCGCTACACTAATCGAATGTGTCGGGGAAGTATATTTCATTCTCTAAAGTTTGCGGAGAAAATTCTGAAATAAGAAGATTTGGAATTACGTGCGATTATTAGAATTGTGAAGTAATCGTTCTCAAATGTAGTAATTGTCATTTAATTTTAAGCAGTAAGTCTTACGACTAGACTGTGAATTTTTATACAAAATAAAAATTGTTTGTATTAATTGCGAGATACAGAAGATAATTCTTCCAATTATTTTATTCAGTTCAGAATAATGCAACAGTATTTTGAAATTCTTCAATTGTTTTCACTCGTTTTTGTCGTGAATGCATAGAATCCATATAGACCACTTAATACTATAATAGTATTATCTTAAGAGCTATTACGAGAAAATGAAATACTGTAATTAAATTGTTTGAAAATTCAATTTAAGAAAAATTTGTTCAATTGGAAGTAATGGAAGATATAAATAGACGTCCACTTTATACATCGATACATTGATCATCTACTTTCTATGTTATTTTCATACCTTTATTCATATTTTAAATTCTACAGAGTGTACAAATTGTACAAATTGTATAAATTGTATAAATTGTGTAAAGAAATTATTTATAAATACCACAACTTTTGAAAAATGTAGCTCCCGCCTGTACCGTGTACTGCTCACTGAAAGGATTAATAAATACAAAACACACGTGTTGGATATAAATAAAAGAAGAAACCAAAAATTCAAATAAATATCGTTTATTGTTCATATCAATAAGTTGTTTTCTTTTATTAGAGTGGAAAGGAAAGCATGAAAGGTGTTACAATAAAAATGTTGTATGCAGTCGAGAAACCAGTAATTATGACAAAGTCAGGCAACCATTTGAGATGAGACGGTTCTCTATTGACACACACAGACACCGTTTTCACATAGGCCACCAATACCTTCCAAAAACAAGCATTTTACAGCGCAAGCTGTATGATTGAAGCTGAACCAGGCCGTTTTAAAGGAGAGGACATCGCAAGTAAATCTACGTGACCGCATCAGATCATCACCATCGTCAGGGAGTGCCATAGGTTCAGCAATGGCATTGGCCGCAGCATTCGGCATAGGATCGACATTGGATAGGCCAGCAGCTTTGGCAACAGCATTAGCTACAGCATTAGCTACAGCATTAGCTACAGCGTTAGCATAGGCTTCAGCATAGGCGGTAGCATAGGCTGCAGGAGCGGCGTCAGCATGAGCTGCAGGATCGGCGTCAGCATGAGCTGCAGGATCGGCGTCAGCATGAGCTGCAGGATCGGCGTCAGCATAGGCTGCAGGATCGGCACCAGGATCAGCAGCACGTACATGTAGACGCTCTGAAAACAAACAAAGCTCTGTTTACTTCCTCGCTAAATACTTAAAATGAGAATAATCGACAGACTCTGCGGATTTTACGCGTTTATGGCAAAATTGGGCAAATGCAATTTAAAATTATAAGAAAATAAAAAGAATATGAAAATGGAAATGTATTATTTTCAATCCATTCAAAGAACTAAACAAAGAATAAATTTGCTAATTAGTTTTTATTCCTTCCAATTGTTGCAGGTAATTTATATTTTCCATTAAAATCCGTAGTCTAGTCATCAATCTTTTATTTCAATGTTTATTTCAAAATTTCAATCAATAACGTCTTATTTAGATATTAAATAAGATTAAATTATATTAAATAATTTAAATTATATCATTTAAATGTTTTCTCTCCTTTAGAAGCATAATTAATAATATTTTGTAGCAATAAAATAATCGAGCTTTTGTTTGGTTATTTTTAACAGTCATACTGGAATCATCTAAATTTCAATCACTGTGTGTGTGAAAGTGAATACATAAAGAACCACTTTTAACATTTTTTACATCACTGATCAAGATGTTTTATTGTCTTTTAAACACTATGAAATTATAAAGGAAAATTACTATTAGCAATACGATTGTTTATAACATATCTCAGTGCATTTATAGTTGCAAAGATTTACTGCAAGAGTAGCGTAATTCCATTCATTCAGCTGTGTGTTAATACGTTGCCTTCAATGCAAAGACATTTTTTTTTGTCATTTATGTAACAGTTTTTCATAAATATAATCATATAATAGGATTACATACTTACCCAATCCGTGCTTTGCTACATCGCTTTGGGGAACATCAACCGCAGATGCGTAGATAACGATAACGAAAATACAAAGAACACTGGAAAATTTCATATTTTGTGAGGTCAAATGCGACTTGTCACTAAAAATGCCTTGAACTGTTTGAGAACCATTGAAGCTTGCACAGTAAAAACACTTGTTTATATACTTACTTAACCACATCAGTAAATGTGCCATATTTTTATTATCTCCCTCTTCTAAACCATGCAATTTCCAGGAAAAGGAAGGACTTTGGTCAGCGATATTACAATTTACAACTCTGAAATGTAATTTCAGTGACTTCCAAGAAGGAAATCTTAAAATCTTCAATCTAAACAATCTAAT